CATATGGAAGTAGGAGACGTCGACGCTTGAAAGATTTTTTGGAAGCACTACTTTACCGCGTCACGTATTGTTCATACTGATTACCTAATAACGTTTTTAGGTCTGTTCTATGGGCTAGCTAGTTCAGAAGTATGTTTGATGTAAACGTATACACTGGCTGTTACTTTTTTTATACTTTTCAACTATTATCCTTTAGGAGGAGCTGATTGTGTGGGTTTAAAACTTGTTGCGTGGAAAAAGTTGTAGACATAAGTTTGAAGGAAAAAGGCTGTTGATTTGCTATTATTATATTTTGGTCTCTCTGTTCTCGAAATGGTTGTTCTATCTAAAAACTGTGTTATTTGTTTTGCTGTAAGTATGTATCTATTTTTTCATATGACTAACTGGTTAGTTTCAGGGTAAAAATGTCCATTACTTTCGGTACTCAGTACGCAAAGCTGAAGACAAATTTGGGTCTGGCGATAAATCGATTGAAGTTAGTGGAGAAGAAGAAGACTGAGCAAGCTTTGAAAGCACGTTCTGAGATTGCAGAATTCATTAGCGGTATGGTGGCAAATTTAAGGCTCTGGGTTCTCTAATAATTGTTTCTCTTTTTCACCGGTTTTGAAAACCTATATGACTCAGCTGTTTAATTTCTGTAGTTTTTTTACAGTGGCACAACTACTTGCACCACTGTGTGTAGTCATTTACTAATCTTTTTATCGTTTGCCAGTTGTACCGCTCTAGGTAGAGTATGAAAAACTTTCCCTTCTCTTGCTCTTGGGATTGTGGAACTAATTATATTTGTCAAATTTTTTGACATTGAAGCCTGAACTAATTTCCAAATAAATATTTCAGTCGTTTATTTTTTTTTATCGGATTTTATTGTTGGTGGAGATTCCACAGTCTTAGGCTGCAGTAGATAGGGAGGAAGCATAAATTTTTTGTTTGTGGCTCTGCATTTTTGGTCTCATGATTTTAAAGTTGTTTTCAAGTCTTATTTTTTTTAGCTCATAAGGAAGATCGTGCCAGAATCCGTGTAGAGCATATAATTCGTGAAGACTTCCTGGTTGAGGCATATGAGTTGCTTGAGATGTATTGCGATCTTTTGCTCGCTAGATTCGGACTTATTCAACAAGTGAAGTACAGTAGTTTTAGTTACTATTACTTCAACTGTCGTGTTTCAGTAATGCAACTTGAAATCCACTTCTCTTCTCCTGAAGCTGCTATAAATGCGCTTCCGCTGTCTAACTTTTTTAAGTGAATCTGAAAATGATTTGCTCTATATGTTTAAACTAGATAAATTATAGGTGAAAATTTATTTGTATCAGGCCATATTTTTGGTT